ATATGTCGAGGGGTACAAAATGTATCAATAGAGCTAACAATGTAAGGCCGATGTCGAGGGGTACAAAATGTATCAATGGAGCTAACAATGTAAGGCCGATGTCGAGGGGTACACAATGTATCAATGGAGCTAACAATGTAAGGCCGATGTCGAGGGGTACAAAATGTATCAATAGAGCTAACAATGTAAGGCCTATGTCGAGGGGTACACAATGTATCAATGGAGCTAACAATGTAAAGCATATGTCGAGGGGTACAAAATGTATCAATGGAGCTAACAATGTAAAGCATATGTCGAGGGGTACAAAATGTATCAATGGAGCTAACAATGTAAAGCATATGTCGTGGGGTACACAATGTATCAATGGAGCTAACAATGTAAAGCATATGTCGAGGGGTACAAAATGTATCAATGGAGCTAACAATGTAAAGCGTATTTCGAGGGGTACAAAATGTATCAATGGAGCTAACAATGTAAAGCATATGTCGTGGGGTACAAAATGTATCAATAGAACTAACAATGTAAGGCCGATGTCGAGGGGTACAAAATGTATCAATGGAGCTAACAATGTAAAGCATATGTCGAGGGGTACAAAATGTATCAATGGAGCTAACAATGTAAAGCATATGTCGAGGGGTACAAAATGTATCAATGGAGCTAACAATGTAAAGCATATGTCGTGGGGTACACAATGTATCAATGGAGCTAACAATGTAAAGCATATGTCGAGGGGTACAAAATGTATCAATGGAGCTAACAATGTAAAGCGTATTTCGAGGGGTACAAAATGTATCAATAGAACTAACAATGTAAGGCCGATGTCGAGGGGTACAAAATGTATCAATGGAGCTAACAATGTAAAGCATATGTCGTGGGGTACAAAATGTATCAATAGAGCTAACAATGTAAGGCCTATGTCGAGGGGTACAAAATGTATCAATGGAGCTAACAATGTAAAGCATATGTCGAGAGGTACAAAATGTATCAATGGAGCTAACAATGTAAAGCGTATGTCGAGGGGTACAAAATGTATCAATGGAGCTAACAATGTAAAGCATATGTCGAGAGGTACAAAATGTATCAATGGAGCTAACAATGTAAAGCCTATGTCGAGGGGTACAAAATGTATCAATAGAGCTAACAATGTAAGGCCGATGTCGAGGGGTACAAAATGTATCAATGGAGCTAACAATGTAAAGCATATGTCGAGGGGTACAAAATGTATCAATGGAGCTAACATGTAAAGCCTATGTCGAGGGGTACACAATGTATCAATGGAGCTAACAATGTAAAGCATATGTCGAGGGGTACAAAATGTATCAATGGAGCTAACAATGTAAAGCATATGTCGAGGGGTACAAAATGTATCAATGGAGCTAACAATGTAAAGCCTATGTCGAGGGGTACACAATGTATCAATGGAGCTAACAATGTAAAGCATATGTCGAGGGGTACAAAATGTATCAATGGAGCTAACAATGTAAAGCGTATTTCGAGGGGTACAAACTGTATCAATGGAGCTAACAATGTATAGCATATGTCGAGGGGTACAAAATGTATCAATAGAGCTAACAATGTAAGGCCTATGTCGAGGGGTACAAAATGTATCAATGGAGCTAACAATGTAAAGCATATGTCGAGGGGTACAAAATGTATCAATGGAGCTAACAATGTAAGGCCGATGTCGAGGGGTACAAAATGTATCAATGGAGCTAACAATGTAAAGCCTATGTCGAGGGGTACACAATGTATCAATGGAGCTAACAATGTAAAGCCTATGTCGAGGGGTACAAAATGTATCAATGGGGCTTACAATATAGGGCCTATGTCGAGGGGTACAAAATGTATCAATGGAGCTAACAATGTAAAGCCTATATCGAGGGGTACAAAAGGTATCAATGGAGCTAACAATGTGAAGTCTGTGAAGTGTGGTTGGTCAACGGGAAATTTGCGAGCAAGTGAATTTAGATCCCGATCCGAAATGAAGAAAAATCAACATGTTTTTTTCTGCTGGGCAGTTTGGAAGATGAGCTTGTAAGGGATTGCTCTAAACCTTGCCTGCAGACTGGCAACTTTTCATAAAGTTATTGCTGAGAGTACTGCCAGTGGGTTATAGGGGCTGCATACAAGTGTGAGACAGTTTTATACTGAGGTGGTAAATATTGATAGAGAAGAGTGATGATCAAGGGAACAGTGGTTAAAAGATTATAAGGGACTAGTCATTTATTGGGGACGAAAACAATGGCACAGTTCTATTGTTTTATGTGTATTTTTATATATTAATTTGAACATCATTTTGGAACTGGTCATTATTGTAGGGAGGGAGGCATGACATCCTTTTATACATAAGGGGGTACGAGTGGCCCAGTCGTCTAAGGCGCTGCGATGCGCTGTGCAGAGTTGCGTCCCTTGGGCACGCCAGAAACCTTTGTTTGTGGGTTCGAATCCCGGCTCGGCACGATTATGTTTCTAGGTTTGTCAGCACCATAACCGTGCTCGTGGGTTTCACCGAAGTGGTAAATGTCTGAGACCTGCATCACTTCGGGCTTTCCTCCCACATTAAGCTGACACGCCGCGATATAACTGGAATACTGTTAAAAGCGGCGTTAAACACAACTCACTCACTCATTTTATACATAAAGGGATGTCGGCAAAATATGACCCAGTCTTAAGACTAAGTAGTAATTTGTTTAGGCTGACGTACATGGATATCAAGAACAATTGTTTTGTTTGGGGTTTTTTGCGTGCTGCATCTGTCCATATGTTTGGGTGGTTTTGCCAGTTTGGGTAGATGTGGTTGTGCGTCGTTGTTGATTTTTCTTTTTTCTCTTGCTAGTTTGGAGTGTTGTCGAAATGTTGTGTGTTGGGTTGTGTCGAATGTGGTGGGGTGTTGACATTTTTGTTGGTATTCAGAGTGGGACGTGGTATGTTGTTTAGGTTGTGGGTGAGGAGGGATAGTGTAGGTGGGTTTGGATAGGGTGGCATGGGTGCCTCCATTGAATTTCTTGAGGGTGGCTTTGTTGGTGTTATTGTATTTTGTTGTTATTGTTTCAGATATTGTCTGAAGGAGCACGGGTTGCCCAGTCGTCTAAGGCGCCGCTATTCGCTGTGCAGAGTTGCGTCCCTTTGGCACGCCAGAAACCTTTGATTGTGGGTTCGAATCCCGGTTCGCCCCGATTATGTTTCGTGTGTTTCACCGAAGTGGTAAACGTTTGAGACCTGCATCACTTCGGGCTTTCCTCCCACATTAAGCTGACACGCCGTGATATAACTGGAATAGTGTTAAAAGCGGCGTTAAACCCAACTCACTCACTCACTCAGATAGTGTGTTGTGTTGTGGCACAGCCCATCACTTGATGCTGATTTGGTGTCTCCTGGGTGTAATGGAGTGTGTGCCGGATAGTGTGAGTAGACTTTTCAGGAGGACCCAGTTCTAGTAAACGAGGGCTATTTAAAGGGCTTTATATTGTATAGAACTTATTTGTTATTGCATGTATTTGGAAGTAAATTTAAAACGGGAGGGGCGTGTCCAGTTTGGATTGAATGAGTGTTTTGTTTATAGTGATCTTGTTTGTTTTTCAACACCCCAGTCTGTTACGCCGAAGGACCTCATGAGGTTTAGGTCGCTTTGTCAAGAAATGACCCGTGGTCACTTCCACAAAGCGATCTTAGCGCTAAGATCATCTTAAGCCTATGTTAAAGTATGGGAATTACAATTATCTTAGCGCTAAGATCGCTTTGTGCAAGTGGGTCCAGATTAGAAATGTAGTGTGTGCATGTTAAGCGCTGGTCGAGGGTTAATCCAGGGGAGTTAGCTTCTTTATTAAAAAGTAATTTCTTCAAAAAATTATTGCAAACTTTAATGCTTATATGTTGTATTAATAAAGGAGGAATGTTTCAGTGAGCTATTTGCATGTGAATGCTGAATGGTGCTCTGTCTTCCCTGAACAGTATTCCAATAACGTCACAAAGAGTCAGCTTGATATGGAAGGAAAGTCTAAAGTATAGATGTTTACCATAGTGAAACTCAGTGACCATAATCTGACAACTGGAACCTATCTGCCAGGAAATAGCCGCTGCTTAGATGAACTAGTTCCACACCTAATTTATGGTTTAGTGAGTGAGTGAGTGAGTGAATAAGGTATTACACTGCTTTAAGAAATATTCCATCCGTATCACTGTATAATCAGCTCACTGCCAGACACGATCCTACTCATTGGGGCTCGGGTGGCCCAGTCGTCTGAGTCCCCGCATTTCGCGGTGCAGAGTTGCGTCCCTTAGGTGAGTGAGTCGTGTTTAACGTCGCTTTTAACAGTATTCCAGTTATATCACGGCGTGTCAGCTTAATGTGGGAGGAAAGCCCGAAGTGATGCCGGTCTCAGACGTTTACCACATTGGTGAAACCCACGAGCACGGGTATGGTGGTGACAAACCTAGAAACATAATCGGGGCGAAGCGGAATTCGAACCCACAATCATTGGTTTCTGGCGTGCCCAAGGGACGCAGCTGCACAACGAATCGCGGCGCCTTAGACGACTGGGCCACCCGTGCCCCCTGCGTCCTTAAGGCATGCCAGAATCCTTTGATCGTTGTTTTGAATCCCAAATGTGCCCTGATTATAAGTCTTGGTTTGTCAGCACCAAGTACACGTGAGTTTCCACAGAGCTGACATATTATAATTCAAAGCGGCGTTTACCCAAATGCACCCACTCATTCACTGCCCTTTTCACTCTCTAGCCTAAAGGGGGCGGTAGGGTAGCCTAGTGGTTAAAGCGTTCGCTCGTCACGCGAAGACCCGGATTCGATTCCCCACATGGGTACAATGTGGGATATTGCTGGAATATTGCTAAAAGCGGCGTAAGATCATACTCACCCACTCACTCACTCTAGCCTTTAGACAGATGAAGGCTGTCCTGTATCACCCGTAACTGGGCAGAATCAGCTAGTAAGACAAAACAGACAGCAAGTGTGTTTATGTTTATGTTTATGTTTATTTAATATTTGTCACAGTTGATCAAGGCGATAGCCCATGCAGAGGTTCTTCTGAATCTGAAATTAAATAAATGTACACATATGTATATACAGATGGTAATAAATATTTATGTCCAATAAACAGGCTATTCTGAAGTTTGATATGTGAGCATACCTGGGCATTATGCATGTCATGTGGACATAAATCACAATATAAGATAGCTACGAGATAGATCGCAAAGAACAATGAAGAACGAAGCGTTGTTTGTTTCACGATAAAACATTGTTCTATCATGATGTCAATAACTTTACAAAACAGACTTGTTGTATTACTGGAAAGCATTCCCTTGAAGATTCGGGTTAGAATTGGTCTTCCCCATGCTTGTATGAGACGACTAATGGGATTGGGTGGTCACGATCGCTGACTTGGCTGATGCATGTCATTGTATCCAATTGCATAGATCGATGCTCATGATATCAATCACAGGACTGTCTGGTCCAGACTCGATTCTTTACAGACTGCCGTTACACAGTTGAGATTTTGTTGAGTGCCGCGTTAAACAACACACACACAAAATTACTGGGAAAAATGTGTCCCTACACGAGACATTGATTTCAGATCCGAAATGGGTTTGCACATATTACAGCCATTGCATTTGAACTTCATTTCTCTCTTATCCGTAACAAATTACCGGTTTATCCTTCATGTAAAGAACATCAATTTTAAGCATATTTTAATTTGCAAATTACTAACCTGTAAACCTCTACCTCCCGGCGTTGATGAGTGCCTGAAGTAGAGCGGCGTCTTGGGCCCCGTTGCTGCCGCTGTGACCACCACTGCTGCCGTGATGCATGGGGACGGGGTAGGGGATGGGGTAGCTGGAGGAGGAGCTATGGTGGGAGGAGCCAGAGTGACAGCAGGACTTCTTGCAACACGCGGACGTCAGAGAAAACAACACAGCTGCAAAAGAAAATATGAAGAATATAGAGAGAGTTATGCAAGAAGAATATAGAAAGAGTTATGCAAAAACGTATAATATGATAATATACTGGATCAGATGACACACCGTCAGAGAATACACTAAATCTATCGAGAACAAACGAGGAGTATCATACAATGACGAATATGGTGACACACACGTCAGGGTAAAGTGCAGGATTGAGAGAGGATGTAGTCGGTAACCACATTGCGGCAATAGTTTTATGCAAGAACAGATAAAAGTTTAAAAAAACTATAATTTCAATATTCATGAGAAACCGCTACTAACAGCAGACTCCATTTCACCATCGAAGACGCATGTGCTTGTTAATCACTATCAAATAGTGATAATACCAAGTGTTCGCGAAAACGAGATGAAATATATTTTGATGTTATGAATGGTACCATGAAGTCTTTAGTATGCCACCTGGAGTTTACAGCTTAAGTCCAAATTTAAGTTGTTTTTGTTTTGCGAGTTATGCAATTCTTCTCATTAACCGAGATCGTTCAAAAATATTTTTAAAAAACGAATAGCAAATTACATTCACCCATAGGGTAATACTGGAGGACTTTCTTTTTACAACATGTTAACCTGATGCTCTATGCTCACATATCTCCAAACTCTAAGAAGAATTCAACTTCAAACTTCCTGTTTCCTGTTTCGCTAAACACCCTACAGTCCAATAGTTGAAAAGAAACACTACATTAATAACATTGCAACTGGTATCTTACCGAAAAGGACGACTGAACGTAGAAATTTGGTGGCCATTATCTTAGTCGAGTGGATGATTCTAACTCTGAAACGGCGAGATTGAAGCAAACTGAATGAAACATATGCACGTTGTATTCATTTTATACCATGTCGTACTACCTCATGCGAGCTGAGATAAAACAGGCCAGTTTGAACGACCCCTCTGTCTCCTTGGTGTGGGGGGAGGAAGGCGTCGAGAACCCCGGGCGGTATGTGCGAGGCTCCCGCGCGGTGTGTGTGTAACCTCCACGTTTTATGTGCGGGAACCCCGCGCGGTATGTACGAGATCCCTGCGCGTTTTCGCGAGACTCCCGTGTGACCGGGGAACACATTGTTTATTATCGAAAGAGAAATGAGTACGAGATCTGCATCTGTTTATATTAATCTTCTCTGGACACTTCATTTCACCACGTTAATGCGGACCTCCTGTCATGTGTCATGGCGAGTCCCAGTATGTTAAACTGGTCCGTCAATGTAGAAATACATGATTCTGATATTAGTTTTTATCTGTGCTACCTTATTTTGTTAAAATCTTTCTATAGTTCCTATATCAAAGACAGGTGCACGTTTCATCTGGAGAATAGTACAGTTATTCTTCTTCAAACGAACCCCACGGCTTTCCAACAGTGCTTCTTGCTGCGACGCAGCATGGATGGTCCCAGTCGCATTCAGAACCCTGTCAAACACAACTAATATGGTACTAGCGTCCTGGTCTCACTTTAGGGGTGGTCGGGTAGCCTAGTGGTTAAAGCGTTCGCTCGTCATGCCGAAGACCCGGGTTCAATTCCCGACATGGGTACAAATTGTGTCCCCCGCCGTGATATTGCTGGAATATTGCTAAAAGCGACGTAAAACCATACTCACTCTCTCACTGACCTCACTTTAACACAAAATTACGAGAATCTATCAGATTAAATGTGAGACTTGATAACCTTTGTGTAGATTAGGTTTTATGGCAACCCCCTTAGTAACATCTGTGTTTAAACAATTTTACTAAGATGTGTTTCAAAATATTTTATTATTCTCCCTTAATGGAACCACAGGACTCTCCTCACCAGCAGTGTTGTTTGTTGTGTCACCATATGAATAACCCTCATCCGCCCTAGGGATCTCCCAGACAAAACCACAAAGGTACTCGTTATTAAAATCTCAGCTTAATAGGTATACACAGTCAGAATATACAGAGTTATTGTGAGTTCTTCAACAATTCTCTTGATAATGTTCGTTTTAAAATAACTTAAGCAACTTGTGTTTCAAAATACTTTATGATACATTTATGTCGGTTTTGTCTTCCTCAGAACTCCCTACGAGTCGCGACGTGTGATTGGACCTGCGTCGCTACATGACGCCAAATTAACCAAAGTGACACTTCTCAATCAAACATCACACACAGCACAGTGGGCAGTGCTCCCGTGAGTATATAATGTGGTACTGAAGAATAGACGGCACTAATTTCCTGACTTTAAGTTACGAAGACAGTTGAACGAAGCCAAGATGTCCGCCAAGATCTTTCTTATCCTTGCTTTCTGTGGTAAGACAAAGAAATACTCTATACTCCTTTATTTTCATTACATGAAATTAATATAACGTGTCAATGCTTTCTTACGAGAATCAACGAAGATCATCAGTAAAATGTGAGACGTTTCTTAAGCCACTGTGACATAACTTATTCCATGGCTTTTCAACGTCTTTATGGGACAACCTTTTTTATCTATATATCTCCAATCTAATCATTTCACTACATTCTATCTCCGCAGCTATGCTGTTTTCTCTGACGTCCGCGTGTTGCAAGAAGTCCTGCTGTCACTCTGGCTCCTCCCACCATAGCTCCTCCTCCAGCTACCCCATCCCCTACCCCGTCCCCATGCATCACGGCAGCAGTGGTGGCCACAGCGGCAGCAACGGGGCCCAAGACGCCGCTCTACTTCAGGCACTCATCAACGCTGGCAGGTAGATGCTGACAGGTTAGTATTTATATTTGTCTTGTCAAATACGGGATGTCATGTCAAACATACGGGGTGTCATGTCAAACATACGGGATGTCATGTCAAACATACGGGGTGTCATGTCAAACATACGGGATGTCATGTCAAACATACGGGATGTCATGTCAAACATACGGGGTGTCATGTCAAACAAACGGGATGTCACGTCAAACATACGGGGTGTCATGTCAAACATACTGGGTGTCATGTCAAACATACGGGATGTCATGTCAAACATACGGAATGTTATGTCAAACATACGGGATGTCATGTCAAACGTACGGGGTGTCATGTCAAACGTACGGGGTGTCATGTCAAACATACGGGATGTCATGTCAAACATACGGGGTGTCATGTCAAACATACGGGGTGTCATGTCAAAAATACGGGATGTCATGTCAAACATACGGGATGTCATGTCAAACATACGGGATGTCATGTCAAACATACGGGGTGTCATGTCAAACAAACGGGGTGTCATGTCAAACATACGGGATGTCATGTCAAACATACGGAGTGTCATGTCAAACATACCGGGTGTCATGTCAAACATACGGGATGTCATGTCAAACATACTGGGTGTCATGTCAAACATACGGGATGTCATGTTAAACATACGGAATGTTATGTCAAACATACGGGATGTCATGTCAAACGTACGGGGTGTCATGTCAAACGTACGGGGTGTCATGTGAAACATACGGGATGTCATGTCAAACATACGGGGTGTCATGTCAAACATACGGGATGTCATGTTAAACATACGGAATGTTATGTCAAACATACGGGATGTCATGTCAAAAATGTCACCTATCTCTGTTAACAGGTTAGACTTTTTACCATAAGTGGGTGTCTGATGTATAAAATGAACACAGTTAATCGTATTAGGTTTGAAAGGGTATGCACTCGTCATTACAATTATTTAAATGCATTGAAATATGTTGAACTCAGCAATAAATCAGCGAAATCGACGCCAGGGGTTAGACCTCGGCACTTCAGCAATTAGCATCCGACGCGGGTCCAGAGTGAGTGAGTTCGGTTTAACGCCGCTTTGATCAGTATTTCCGTCATATCACGGCGTGTCAGCTAGATGTGGGAGGAAAATCCTAAGTGATGCAGGTCTCAGACGTTTACAAATTGACGTGTAAATGTCACGTGATGTTCATACGCGTTTTGATTGGCTGCGTTCATACAACTTGTCGCATGAAAATAGAACATGTCCTATTTCGTACAACTCGCGTCCAACAAGTTGCATACGTCAAAAGTTGGACCGACTTGCCCGTTCACACGATGCAATGTGTTGCATGCAACAAATTGTATATAACTAGTTGTACCGTGTGAATGCCCCTTAAGACGTGACGTTATTAGGTCATGTGTTACTTTAGGTCTTCCAACCCTTGCGTATCGCTCGGTGGCTTCTTTTATATTGAAAATAAATACTCGTATGTCTGTAGTGGCTCATATGTATTTATTTATTTCAATTTATTATGAATATCACTGAGACGTGAAATTAAAAGAGGAATAGCTGCTTACTCTTTTCAAAACTATATTCTAAATAAATATATTGTGGAGAAAATAGTATATAGGAAATAAGCTACAATTTAGTCAAGCGTTTAATATTAGTAGTATTCAACTAGTATATAGGCTTACGTTTTTCAACAGTATATTAAAATTGAAGGAAATACCAAAGTATATTGGAAATAAGGTACACTTTAGTAAAACGTTGAATAATAGTAATTATCAACTGAAAACACGTCTCCAGCATGCTGTAAGATCTATCCGAGCATAAAGTAGCCCACTCAACGATTTTTGGGGATATTTTTTCACAAGCGTCATGCCTTCTTCACAAACATGAATAAACAGTTGGGTGTAGCATCGAATATTTAGAATACCTCCATCAAAACCCCTCTATATTTAAGCGAGTCACGCGCAGGCATTACATTTACTGTTAATGTGATTAATCTCGGATTTGCGGAGCCCTCTTGTTTATAGTAAATGCGAATTACCACATCAACCATGTCTTAAATATCATGTCTTAAATAGTGAGTGAGTATGGTTTTACGCCGTTTTAGCAATATTTCAGCAATATCACGGCGGGGGACACCAGAAATGGGCTTCACACATTGTACCCATGTCGGGAATCGAACCCGGGTCTTCGGCGTGACGAGCGAACGCTTTAACCCGACCGCCCCATGTCTGAAATAAATGTTAAACCCTTTGTCTTTTGCAGGTGACACGCACGAGGGCCACAACTGAAGATAGAGTAATAGAAATACAAATGTTGACGTGCATCAATAAACTGTGTGGAAAATATTTGTGTTTTATTTTATTTTAGTTTTTTAAATTTTTGCTTCTCTCAAATTAATTGTAATTGTAACTAATGTGTGCGAAAGTGATTCATAAACGCACAGGCTGTTGAAAGACAGAAATATATTTGTTTAGTGAAAGACACTATCTCAAAGGTAAAGTCTCAGTATGCTAAGAAGCCTGTGGTTTGTACAATGTAAAAGGTAAACAAATCATTCACTGAACAGAACGTACTTTGTGGGCTATTTAGATGGCAAAAGAAATGAAAAACATACGCTGGTTATTTGTTTGTTTGTTATTTTACGTCGCACACAGCAATAGTCCAACTATATGACGGCGGTCTGTAAATAATCGAGTCTGGACCATACAATCCAGTGATCGACATAATGCGCATCGATCAACGCAATTGGGATACGATTACATGCATCAACTAAGTCAGCGAGCCTGACCACTCGAGTCCAGAGTACGATTCTTACTATATCAAGATCATGTGTTTATGAAGCGTTATCAAATAGTGATGATACCACGTATTCGGGAAAAAGGGAGTGTATCCCACCGGTGGTACCCGTCACAAACACATGCAAAGGAAAGTCAATTGATAGTGATTCAGTGCGTATGATATAGAAGGACTTTATTTTTAGCAGAGATTTCTTATGATTACAGAAATAGTTTTATCGCATTAATAAGAACTATGTGACATAAAGATTAAAACAGATTGCTTCAACGTTAAACGTGATCGACTGACACTCAAGCGGTACTGGTGCGAGTAGATTTCTGTTTATAATTAGACAGTTGTGTTGCGTTGATTCAACAAAGAAGTCATCGCTACTTGGCTGAAGAAAGCTGACTGCAGCAAAATTCAAAGTGACTGACGATGTCAGGAAACATGCAGTTTTGGATGAAGATGGCTGGTCACCCATCACATGGAACGGCCCCTCTTCTTATATTTTACGTAAGCTTCAATGTTCACGTTTTAAATATTCAGATGAGTTTTATGCAAGTTTTTCACAAAATTGTTGAAATATACCCGATCATTGTTTGAGTTGTGTCAATTTTATCTACCAAACAAAATAGTAGTCCGTCATAATCCGTCATCACCACGGAGTAGCCAATCGGGCCTGGAATTCGATCTCATACATATGTTTGATACCAATCATCTCAAATTGGTTTCTGGGCAACAGGTGTGTAGTGAATACAGTTAGATCGTGGTCGGAATGTCTATACAGGTTGCGTCAAACTAGATTATACGTATCTTGTTTCTTGTATTACATCTATCGAAATCGGGATAGAATAGGTCTTCAGCAACCCATGCTTGCCGTAAAAGGCGACTATGCTTGTCAAAAGAGGCGACTAACGGGATCGGGTGGTCAGGCTCGCTGACTTGGTTGATGCATGTCATGGATCCTAATTGCGTGGATCGATGCTCATGATAGCAATCACTGGATTGCCTGGTCCAGACTCGATTACTTACAGACCGCCGTCATATAGCTGGAATATTGCTGAGTGCTGAGTTAAACCAAAAAAATCATTAAAAAAATCTTATTGTTGCGCCAGAACCCCCCCCCCCCCCCACCCCCCCACCCCCCATTCCCCCCCCCCCACCCCCCATTCCCCCCCCCCCCCACCCCCCCCCCCCCCCCCACCCCCCCCCCCCCCCCCCACCCCACACACCCACATAGTTATACAGTCATATTTTCAGTTAGACTGTTAGATGCGAAACTTACGAAGCTGGTGAGTAGGATGTGAGTGGGCGGGCTCCGCTACAAAACACGTGGATATGATGCCATATACGTTATAATATGACAATCTATCCATCATCAACATGTGTTTCGTAGATTGTCACGGCTGGCTGAACTCATTGACTCCCCGAATCACCTGTTATTGAACATAGGAACTTAATGAACGTGGAACATCGATTCTATCTACACGATGAAAGGTTCGAGAGCACCTGCTTCTGGAATACATTTTTTTATTGACAATATATGCAGGTTGTTTTTTTAAATGATAAGTAATCACACTAAAATATGTTCCACGCATTTTCAGCACTCAAATGTGTCATGTAAAGCTTAGATCGAAAATGGGCAACTGCCTGACTGTTGAACGCAATCAAGCTACAGCCCGTGTGCTATGAGTTATTGAATGGGCCCAGCTGAAACATGTTCTTAACTCCCCGTGAATACATGGATGCTTTTTTTTGAGTGTCCATTGCATACGACCCGTGAAGATCCGAGGTAGAATAAGTCTACAGCAACCCATGCTTGCCGTAAATGGCGACTATGCTTGTCGAAAGAGGCGACTAACGGGATCGGGTTGTCAGGCTCGCTGACTTGGTTGATGCATGTCATGTATCCAAATTGCGTGGATCGATGCTCATGATATTAATCACTGGATTGTTTGGTCCAGACTCGATTATTTACAGACCGCCGTCAAATAGCTGGAATATTGCTGAGTGCGGCGTCAAACAACAAAACACAAAAGACAAAGACGACACGTGTGCCTCAATTCCGGTATTTCCCAAGCCATAGCGAGGACAATACCGGAATTTAGGCACGGGTGTCGTAAACACAGTATGACATGAACACAAATATAATGTTCTATTTATTACTGAAGAAGATGTTCACATACAGAGACGAATTTTAGCGTTTTCCTTTTTGGACAGCAAGTCGCAACAGCAGCGGAACCACAATTTGTCGAATGACGTCAACAATCCTCAGCTATGACGTCGTTTCTAGTGTGACGTCATTCCGACCTCACGTCACAATATGATTGGAATGACGTAAACAATGCCGTCCGGGTGACGGAAACAATACACTGTTGTCTCGTGACGTGATATGACCCTAGGGCACATATGATTTTTATAAACCCCGATATGTTTGCCCTCGTAGGTAATAAAAGGAAACATGTCTTAAAACATCCCGTTGATCCAGTAGGCACAAGTCACTTTTATGCCATATACAATGGTACATATATACGGGTTGTTCTGTATATCGTTATAGGCAGGGAGTCGACACATTTTCCATTCAATAACACATTTTGATCACGAAAGGAAAGAAAAAATATTATTCGGTCAGATAATAATATCGGTCTTATTACTTGCCCGTGAAGAGATCACCCGTTTAATAAACATACAGCTGTATTACACATTGTGTAATACCAACACGTGTGCTTATGTATCTCGGAAAACGTTTCACGAACAAAAATTGAAAGCTCTCAACATCCCTTGGCTTATTCAACGACACTGCGTGTGGAGTTGATAGATCACTGAGAGGAGCTTATGCACACTCGATGACCCCAGCAATCTTGTTGCTAGGCTGACGTCACATGGCATTGTTTCGCCGATGGATCTTGCAACAAAATTCACAAATGACGTCATCGGGTATTGTGACGTTATTGTAAACTTGGAGATGCAAGGCCCGTTCCACAAGGCGATCGTATTGTAGCGCAACGACAGTCGTTAGTCTAAGTTAAAGTATGTGAGTTGCGATAGTCTTAGCCCTACGATAATTTTGTGAATTCTAAAGGTGGACCGTTGTATGGTATTAAATTCATACGTTTCAACTTTTGACGTGATTATTCTGTTAAACTCAATTGGACTATGCCGTGAATAGTGTAGGTGTCAGCCTATTCATACTCAACAGTATAATTCAAAAAACGTTATAAATGACAAGTAATAAATAAAATACTAAAAGAGCTCCCGTGTAATACCAATTTTATGAAACTCGTGAATAGCTGTGGTATCTGACTCGCTTTCGCACGTCAGATACCACAACTATTACTCGTTTCATAAAATTGGTATTACACGGGAGCTCGTTTAGTATTCTATATTTATCTGAGAACGTGTTAATAATCGGCTGAATATATATGAAAACACAATATGAATAAGAAAATACTTGAAATATATGCAAGTCTGTTTTGACAAAATATATAACATGATTCATATAATATATTTGCATAACATGATCAGATCTTTCATATGGTTGTAAGAAGAAACGATTTATGAATTTTCCTTCAAAGTTAGACTTTTGAATAACCCGAAGTCATGTCAAACTAACTCATCTAATCCTTCAAACAAATCAATCTTAATTAATATAACAATACTGTATAACGTACGGTATTTCTATTTTGTGAGCAATGCGGCAGTGGCCACACCCATGCTGGGCCGCGGTAGCATTGTCCGCAGGATTAGCCTGCTAATCTTCTCTGGACCTTAAAACATCGTACATAGTGACCACATTGACCAGCAGGTGCCCGGAGCATAGAATGTCGCTTGCGGCCAGGTTTCCGTTATCAAGAGGTATAAATACGTACAAAAAACCAAACGATTCATACAACTCTCATCTTCTGTCTACACAACAACAAGATTAGCATCACCATGCAGAGAATATCAGCTCTACTCCTTGTGACTCTCGGTAAGTAGATCAGACTCGATTCAGAGGTAGAGCGTAAAGGAGGACCCGGCTTGAACTAATAGCCAGTCCCAGCAAGTTTAACTCAAGTTGATCGAGCTCCACTTTGAATATTTAAAGACTGACTGCAAATAATTGTTAATACAAAACGATGTACAAACTGTATGAATACGCGTAAATGTGCAACATTTATCTGCTAACTCAATTGTGAAAATCAATTGTTTGATAGGCCTTACTTAGAAGTTGACGGATGACACTTAAGGATATATACCGAAACGTCGCCTTTACAGTATATATAGAAGTTTGTTATCCATAAGATGTCTCTACTTTGTATATGTATCTCAATCTAACAGTAATGGGTTCTTTTTTTTATCCCAGTTACATGGAGACATGTTTCTGTTTCAAACACGTACATGTTCAAATCTATACTGCATAATAAAGGGCCACAGGCCATGAAGAAGAGTGCGGCTTTAAACAACAAACAAACAAAAAAAGCTTTCAGAATGAGCTGACTTTTTGGAAAGAGGGGAAATAAAATATATTAATGTTACAGAGGAAATCTGACATTTCAATCGGGAAATAAGTTGTAGAAACATGATTTCTATGCTGCTACTAGGGTGTACTACTGTGCCTCCCACCACCCCACAAAACCCACCACACGCACACACACGCACACACACGCACACACTAAAACGCATTTCCACATTCTTTCCACACTCGAGAAACGTGACTGCAATAAACACATCAATCTTCACCTTATTTGATCTTTCAGTCGTTTTGGTGATGTCCACAAATGGTCACCGTCACCGACACCGTCACCGTCACCATCGTCACCGACACCACCGTCACAGCAGTAGCAGCAGCAGCAGCGGCGACAGCAGCTACAGCAGCAGCGAGGAGACGATTGTCCACCACCACCACCACTCGTCTCCTTCCTCCAGCTCCTCCGGGTCCTCCTCAAGTTCCGGATGTGGATGTGGGGGAAGTTCCGAGTCCTCTGAGTCGTCCTCCGAGGACTACCCCATCCCCATCCCCGTGCCATTCTCCCACGGCGGCGGCGGCGGTCACAGCCACACCAACTACCTCCCCATCATCCTCACAACAGGCGGAAAATAAGCTTTCGTAAGTTACCCCTCGGGATTCCTGGTTAGAATAGGTCCTCTCTAACCTATGCTTCTCGTAAGAGATGATTCAATTTATCAGATTAGCAAGTTTGGTGACTTGGTTCATCGCATGTCGTCATACCCCGTAGCTCATAATATCAATCATTGGTTCATCTGGCCCAGACTCGATTATCTACCTGTCCTTGTCGTGTAGCTGGAGTGATACTGAGTGCGACGTTAAACAGCAAACGAATCTCGTACATTGTGTGGAGAATGGGAGACTTTCAGCCGTAGTCACCATTAGCACAATTCTGTGTTTTATCCTAGGAGTAGACAAACCAGTGGTTGATAGTGTGAGTGTCGATCCATGACTTCCACAACCAATTATAAGTTAAAAGGCCATATAGCTATGTTGTTATTTCTCTAGGTGGTCCGCCATAAGTTTTTAAACACCATCTACGCAACCTTAAAATTTAGATTAATTTCATTTTCGATACGTCTCTGTATAATGAAAAGATCCACATTGAGTATTATACGTTCCTAATACACAGTAATAATGTTTTTGGACACATAGTTGGTTTCTGACCCAAAGGCAAACTCATATCGAAGACATAAATACTCCGTTAAATATGTCCATGCTTCAAAATTATAATAAAAGCCTGTCTGATTGTGGTATTTAAGTTATTTCAACCACATATTAAATATGTTATTAGATTTCTAGAAAATGGTACAGGTCAAAACTACTGTGACAATAGTCCTCACTCACTATCATATGATAACACTGTTTCGTTATTTTTCAGGGAGAGCCAGCTGTTGCGTCAATCGCATTTGTTCACGGATATCGAATCTGTTGTTATTGTTATGTTGTTGTATATCCATCGATATTAAATAAAATCCTTTCATGTACAGTTTGATTTATTATTGCTTCAAGTCATAAGGACAGGGCTGTTATTATTGTAAATGAACCGGATGTGTTACAGTTGAAATGTGTGGTCCTCCTCATGGTTTACAGAACACAGCTGTTTCTCGTGTCCATGATACATTCTGGTGTTATTTATCCTTAAATGGAGTGCTATACATACTAGAAATTGAAAATAACAATTGAATGATAAGTATAGACCATCCTTAATGTTTGGGTGGCATTGCATGGATTAGCCTTGGGTGACCACTTTTAGCCCTGGGTGCCGAGGATGAGTCTAACCATGAACTATTCCAGCCATGTTCCAGGTGTGATGATCATCATGAACTACATTAGCCCTGGGCTTCGTGCATGGTCGTGATCATGAACTATAATAGCCCTGGGTTCCACACATGGTCATGATTATGAACTATAATAGCCCTGGGTTCCTGGGTTCCACACAAGGTCGTGATCATGAACTATAATAGCCCTGGGTTCCACGCATGGTCGTGATTACGAACTATAATAGCCCTTTGTTCCACACATGGTCGTGATCATGAACTGTAATAGCCCTGGGTGCCTGGGTTCCACAGAAGGTCGTGATCATGAACTATAATAGCCCTAGGTTCCTGGGTTCGACACAAGGTCGTGATCGTGAACTATAATAGCCCTGGGTTCCACACATGGTCGTGATCATGAACTATAACAGCCCTGGGTTCCTGGGTTCCACACATGGTCGTGATCATGAACTATAATAGCCCTAGGTTCCTGGGTTCGACACAAGGTCGTGATCGTGAACTATAATATCCCTGGGTTCCTGGGTTCCACACATGGTCGTGATCATGAACTATGATAGCCCTGGGTTCCACAAATGGTCGTGATCATGAACTATAATAGCCCTAGGTTTCACACATCATCGGGTCGTAGTCATAACTATTATAGCCCTAGGTTCCATAATATAGTATAGTGTTGTAATCGTAGTAGTAGTAGTAGTAGTAGTAGTAGATGTAGTAGTAGTAGTAGTAGTAGTAGTAGATGTAGTAGTAGTAGTAGTAGTAGTAGTAGTAGTAGTAGTAGTAGTAGTAGTAGTGGTGGTGGTGGTGGTGGTGGTCATAGTGGTAGTAGTAACAGCAGTAGCAGCAAAGAATATTTCGTTTATACTTGTAGCAGTGTTCAAGAGCAGTTAATAAGTTAGTGTTGCAGTATGTACTTTGTCTCCTTCCCGTGTGGTGAATCCGGGGCGGGTCCCTATACACAACCCCATCACTTGACTGTGTCATATAGTGTATACAGAATGACTTCAAACATGTAAACAAATAAGATTATCTTGAAGGTCACTTTGGTTTATATGTGTATCAAGATATTTTTTTCAAGCACTGATTTCCCCCAGTCACAGCTCTGAAACTGAACTGTTCGGCAAGAGAAAGTATACTCTTGAAAGGACAAACGTTGTCAAAACGTTACTGGGCTGAAAATCGTCGCCGAAACATTGCAGTTAAGGCCCACAACACAACAATGATGCCCACATCAAATACACCACCATCGAACAACATTTCTTGTTTGTTTTTAGCCACCATCAAACGTGGGTATATACTACAATATACTCTCTTTTCTCAGTTCTTGCTTATTGATGTTCCATATGCCGTTGAGTGTAGAATCACGGGCAGGTTATAAAACCTATTAAAGGAGTCGTTTTGGTCTTTAATAACAACCCTATGTTAAATAATATATAACAAACTGACTTAAAAACGAAATGAAAGGACGTTTGTTTCCGGTGGTCTTTTGGTTTCCAGTGGTCTCTCTGCTTTAATTTTAAAAAGTTTCTATTGGTGGGAATATGTTGCACAAGAATGTCTTTATCGCCTGATCGTGACATGGTGATACTAATTATAGGCCCGGGGGCTTATTGTGATCACGGAGCAGTAGCTGGTAAACAGTGCGTATTTCATATCACTCACCATGCAATTTCACAAATTAAACACGTGTTTCGTGACTTTCGTGACACCCGTATCAAATACATCAACATCGAATAACATTTTTTTGTCATTTTTAGACACCTTCAAACATGGGTTTATACTTTCTTTTAGGGTCGGTCGGGTAGCCGAGTGGCTAAAGCGTTCGCTCGTCACGCCGAAGACCCGGGTTCGATTCCCGACATGGGTACAATGTGTGAAGCCCATTTCTGGTGTCCCCCGCCGTGATATTTCTGGAATATTGCTAAAAGCGGCGTAAAACCAAACTCACTCACTCACTCATTATACTTTCTTTTGCCCGGCAGTATATTTTTAAGGTATAAACGTTCACCTTTGATCTTAGTTCTCTAAAGAATTGCATGTACGGGGACGGGGGGTGGCCTTATGTTTAAAAGTGTTCCATCATCGAGGCGAAGACCCATGCATTGTGTGAAACCTGTTTGTGATGTACCTTCAGAGATGTTGCTGGAACGGAGGGGCGGCGTTCAACAACGTTCACTGCATATCAGGGATTGGTAATTTACTATATGAGGCTGGTTCGATTGGTCTTAGACTGAATCATAATTTGCTGACAAATCACAAACCCCATAATAATAATAAAATTAAATTTTAAAAAATTATTTAAAAAATTAAAATAAATAAATACATAAATAAATAAATAAATAAAAAAATAAAACAAATATATAAAGAAAAAAACAAAATAAAATAATAAAATAAAATAAAATATCTTTCCATGCCCCCCTCCCTATAATAAATGATCAGTCCCTAAATAATTTCAATATAATATGACGGATATGCATGCAACGCTACACTTGAAATTCCACTTCACCTTAATGCAATGTGCGTTGAATCAATTTGCAGAGTATATCAGCGTAGATGGGGTTTGATTACATGGGTAAAGAAGGAAGCGATTTGAATTTATATAAGTGTTTATAAATACGGACATTTCACCTGTAAGGTTATGCATATAATAGATATATGTCTTAGTTGCATCCTGGTTCGTGCACGCGTGCGTGCGTACGTTCTAGAATCATTAGTGTTCCTGCTAGTACAGAGATTCTGAGGTGTGTAGCTGTAAGGATACGGCAGGGTTTCTGTCCGTAAATTGTTTGTCTGTTTGTTTGTTTGTTTAACGCCGCAATATACCAGCTATACGACGGTGGCCTGAAAAATAGTCGAGTTTGGGCCAAACAAGCCAGTGGCTGGCATCAAGGGCGGAGCTAGCATTTTTAAAAGGGAGGGGTTCAAAATATCAAATCCTCTCTCAGAAATTTACTGCTGCCTACATTTTACATTTGGTTTTCAAAAAATAGAGGGGGGGGGGGGGGGGGGGGGGGGGTTCGAAACTATGGTGGCTATTAGCCGGATGTCGTGGGTGTCTGCTCATACCACTGACCTCCGGTTTGTCCGCAGGGTTATACACAGTCGCAATAGTGTTGGGTGTGGCGTCGAACAAAACTCCTCCATACGGAAGGCCGGTAGTTCCATCACGGACGCCAAAAGCATATGTGGATAATCGAGTATGGGCCAGACACTCCAGTGATTGATATTTTGAGCAAAGAGTTGTACCTAGACTGGCTTATTGTCTCTGTAAAATGAGGCTTATAATTAACTGTTATCTTGATATGAAGCAATGCATGAAAATTGAGTTGACAGACAACCAAAGTCGGTTATTTTAACTTCTTTACAACTTGAACCCATTCTGCCAATTTTCCGTAGTCTTCACAAACTGAAAATGTTAAATATGTTTGTTTTTGGAGTATAATACAACTTTGATGTATTGGTAACATATTGTATGTGTTTTTGTAAACTCATAACTTGTTCTCGTCGCTATATTGTCTGAAACATTGCCGATGCATCGTTAAATTGAGAAAGTCATTCACTGTGTCTGCCGATCGTCTTATGTGACGTCATCCAGTTGAATACTATGCCGTTATGTTCAGTGACGTAATGGTGACGTTTATGGTGTTATTTAACATATGGATATATGCCGTTAATAAGTATATGCTCTTATAACAAATTTATCACCTTTAACCCCGCTTGCGAGATTTCAATCCCATTTGCCCATTCAATTGTTATTCATACTCATTTAAGTTGGTTTGTTGTTTATCGCCGCACTCAGCAATATTCCAGCTATATGACGGCGGTCTGTAAATAATCGAGTCTGGACCAGACAATCCAGTGATTGATATCATGAGCATCGATCCACGCAGTTGGGATCGATGACCGTGCATCAACCAAGTCAGCGAGCCTGACAACCCGATCCCGTTCGTCGCCTTTTGCGACAAGCATTGTAGCCTTTTACGGCAAGCATGGGTTGCTGAAGACCTATTCAACCACGGATCTTCACGGGTCCATACTAATTTCAGATTGCTATGTGGGGTAGAATGTGCTTTACCTGTCCCTACCTTTAGGAAAAAATATTTTTTATTATTTTTGTCTTTTATTATTTTGAATTATATAGGGCAGTGACCATATATCGGTATATGGTTTCTGTGTACAGCTGATGTGGGCCTATTATTTTGCAGTTGGTAATTATTTATCTGTCTTATAACGGAGGAATCTTAGATCCACGTGCCCATAAAACAACATCGGACAGCAATGGTAATTATTAATGGGAAGGCCGTTGAAGTACCTGTCTCCCGAAGAAAATAATATAAACACGCACCCCAGCAAGTCTATATAATGTACGGAAGTAAATGACTGCTCCCTCGTACGACAACGTGCAGTTTCAGGTCGTCGTTATGGAAGTCGGGCTGTGTTGAAGGAGACAGCATCACTACCTGAGCTCCAGTCGTCTTTCCGTGTCATGAATTTACACGTGTCATATATACATTGTCATTTGACTTCAACACAGTCCGCTGCGATTGGTGTAATGGTAGAAACGATCCTGATGGTGCGATTGAAAAACACGTGGTTTTGACGAAGTAGACGAGAACATTCGCCGGGAAGTAATAGATTTTTTTATGGTTCGTGAATGTGCACTTATAGACTAAATGACTTTGAAACGTGAAAACATTTTTCGAACCCAAGAGCCAATTTCGCTGCAGGAAAATGGTGTCTTGGATGCATGTGGAGTTTTTCATCCTGCGACTGTGTGTCCTTGGTCTGCCAGGTAGGTGTTATTTAGGCCTATATTTACAAAATAATCTATTAGATCTCGGTGAGTAGGTCACCTTGACCTCGGAGCATCTCAATCAGATCAATCACCCGTCCATCACTTGGTTGTTGAGATTGTATTGACATCTGGAAATTGTTTAATGGGGTAGAATAAGTTTAATAAAAACATATGTAGTACTTAAATGCACAGGTGCTTAATTGGAACGCAAAAAAATAGCAGCTTCAAGATGTATGGTCGCACCCAGTGTCAGTATGCTATATAAAGTTGCCTTTTATATAGTATACTGACACTGGGTGTGACCATATATCCTATAGCTGCTATTTTTAGCGTTACAAGCCCCTGTGCTAAAGTATGATCTGTGGAATATGAATATAAAACTCAAGACCACCAAATGAACGATGTGATTCAGAAAGTAACTATAACATGGTCAGTGTGCTTATTTGATGTGTGTTAAATTGTCTCTGTAAGTTAAAGATACAGTCACCTTTAATAATAATTCAATAAAATGTGCATACAATATTTTTATCTGCAAGACCCAATTGGTGGTCATCCTATCAACTGTGAAAATGAAGCATTATGCACATGACAACATTCTAATAAATGAAATAAAAACAAGTACAAATCTAAAGTGTCTTGTATTCTTAACTTTTCTACCTCTCACAAGGTATGCTAGGAGTATTCACAGCATTAGAAATTGGCACTAGTCCAATAGTCCTTGCCAAACTGCCCAATAGTTAACCCTCTGGATGCCGAGGTTTTTTTCTGATGCACATTTTCCTAAGATCGGTAAAGTGAAGGTTGTGCGTGAATTGTGCTCACGCGGCACTGGATCTACCTCTGGCTATAAAATTACGCAGAGGTGGAGAATATTAAATTTCCTATTTGATGGTGTAAACTTAACTGCAAATATTAAACCGGTTTTGAAAAAGACACTTCTAAGTGTTGTCCGAGAATATATTCTGCATTGAAAAACAGTAAATTCCTCCGCTTTTTTTTGTACACCGATAAAAGTACTGTGCGACAATTATCGATATTGAAACTGTAAGTGTAATGTTACTGATGTAGCACCATTATTAATGGAGCACAAGCCTTATCATCAAATGTAATGAAATACCAAATAAATAACACCATTCCTTTTGACGTCATGGCTGGTTTTATGTCTTTGATAATGTCGGAGAAAGACGACTCTGGTATTTTGATAAAAATATATCTCCCCTAATTTTCGTTCATGGTATGGAAAATCTCGATGTGGAAAACGGAATTTGACTCTTTTTCGACGCAACATAAAATGACTGCTTTCACCAAGTAAATAATGTCTTGAATATGTAAACAATTTGATAGTTTATCGTGCATCTAAATTGGACAAGACATGCACCTGTTTGGCATCAATTTACGTAATGAAATACACAAAAGAATATTTCAAAACAACCAAAATTATATTCAATATTGGACATATATTTGTTCATTAATATGTTATTACTTCTCTTCGTCTCATCTCAGAATTAAACAATAAAAGATGCGATGAAAGCTCTATTGGTATAAAATTATCAGGATAATTGTATAAGGTTGAACCAACGGGGAACCTGGCATGGATTTTTTTAATACTTTTTCCAATTCTTGGAGAAATAAAGTAAACAGTTTAATATCCTGTGATCACAATATTGAAAAAAAGAAAGAACCCATTGATTTATATAATGCAAAACCATTGGAACCAACGGAAAAGAAATTCCGATAAAGTGAATACCGTTGTCGTTGTGCGTGATTTTGCGTCGGTCATGGCGTCACACAGGACGGTGACTTTGACAATTTTTTGTTGAAAATATCAAATCATTGCAATGTATCTATTTCAAATTCCCTAATTCTTCCTACGATTCTCTTCCTTTGCATATTCTGAAAATGTTGAGCCAATATGATATTATTGTGAACGAACTGAGGAATGGATAGCTCAAAATAGGTAGAAAATGTTACACTGTGTAAAATCTGAATTTTGCTTTGTTTACATTTCAAACAAGTGCAGTTTTTCCAGCGCACCACTTGTTTTCACACCAAACTTATTTTGCTTGATTTCATCTAGCCACTTTGTATTGGTGACAAAGACCATTGGTCATTTGATTCTAAAATGTATGAGGAATTCAAGGATGTATGTATCGCAGCTAAGTTTGAAATATACGTGATGTTACAGGTGTCTCATAACCGGTGTACCTGAAACGTGATTTTGTAAACACTATCCAATATGACGGAAAGTTCACATTCGTGTTTGCATATTTTCAAAAACATTTGAAACGATTCTAGGGTTATCGGAGACGTTTTGGAATGATCATTGGTGATTTCATAAAAGACAGATACCCGTGATCACTAATATGCTATTTTTAAAATTCATTTCTCCGAGTAAATATCCGAAATTTATATTTCAAAACATGCAAATAACGCTATGAGTAGTGATTTAGTAATGTATATAAAAAATGCCGACATTTACGATGTACCTAATTTTCAGAGGTCATTGGAAGATATCACAGATCAGGGAATTTCCCACCTTATTCAAAACTGTGAAGTGTATTTGTGTGGGTGATGCATTTTGAATTTTGTTCGACTTCAAACTGAGGGTTGTAGAGGAGGGATATATATGTCCCTGTGGCATCCAGGCGGTTAAGGTATCATAAGGACGAGTAGAAATTCAGCTCCATGTTATCATTATAAGGACTAGTTGACTAAAAGTGTTAGTTTCTATTGCTGATTCACATAAAAAGCGCGAAAATGAAGACAAATAATAAGACTGGCAAATATAAATGTGAACGGAATGACGAGAAGGCAGTCTAGTCCACTTGAAACGGTGCCGATTGCATTATGACAGTCTTTGTGGCAGCTGACATTTTACCCATTTACATTTTTATGACCTTTTATGTGGATATATATATATATATATATATATATGGCGGCGGCGGCCTGTATGTTATCAAATCTGGGCCAGACAATCCAGTGATTGGTATTACGAGCAACAGTCCATGCTGAAGAGGTACCATGACGTGCTGTCAACCAAATCACCAAGCCTGACCATCCATTCTTTTTTCTTTCTTTTTTTCCTGTTGTTTAATGCCGTTATCAGCAATATTCCAGCTATATGACGGCGGTCTGTAAATAATCGAGTCTGGACCAGACAATCCAGTGTTTAATATCATGAGCATCGAACCACACAATTGGGATACGATTACATGCATCAACCAAGTCGGTGAGCCTGACCACCCGATCCCATTAGTCGCCTCTTACAACAAGCATAGTCGCCTTTTACGGCAAGATGGGATCAAAGACAAAATGACATGAAAACTATTGTTTATGTGTAGGTAACGGTCTTGCCCATTTTAATCTATCATGTTTGACTCAAGTTACCTTTGAAAAGACCAATCAGAGCGCTACTTACCAGATCATGAAAGTGACAGTTGAAACGTGACCCGTAATGGGATGGCCTCAGATCTTTGTTTGGCGGTGACCGCCTCCGTGGTCCAGTGGTAGAGCGTCCACCCGGAGAGCGGAAGGTCCGGGGTTCGATCCCCGACCGCGTCATACCAAAACACGTTAAAAGATGGTACTTGTTGTTACCCTGTCTGGCGCTCGGCATTAAGGGGCTAAAACAAGGACTGGTCGGATCGGAGTCAGTACACTGTGTCTGAGTGGGGTATTCATGTTAAACTGCGGCATAGTATCTCAGTGAGCTAGCACTATAAATCGGCATCAGTCCGGACTAGTACAAGCAGCCACACAAACACACACACGTTCATGCACATCGCTATATAAGTGCAATAATCTTGGACGCGACGTTAAACCCAATTTCACCTCACCTCACCCTGTTTGGCGGTAGCGAGATCTAAGATCTGATTTTAATGAGATTGAGAAAAATACTAATGACTGACAGCTGGACCAAGGACACTTGTAATAACATGGATCAATGTTTCAATCAATTTTTAATATATATACTAATTTAACCGAGATACAAGGCTTCTCAGGTGTGTGATTTGAAACTAACCAACCCATCACATATTTCACTGTGATTTTGTAGAAAATATGCTGTACTGGAGTTTTCGCTTTGTATATTTTCATTGAGGAAAATATTTTCAATATGAGAGTCACCATGGCACATCTGTTGTCTTAATGGGGACAATTTGAAAACTTCAGAATGTTGCAGTTCCGTTTATGGGAGTGAACTTGGACAAATCCACAAAATCAGTTTTCTGTTAATAGATAGCTTTTGGTATTTATGATACAGGTATGACCATCCAACATATCTAAACATTCCTTATGAATAATAATTATCCTATTAATCAAATGAGATCGTAAATATTTTCTTTCATTTTGTTGTAACCAGAACTATTGAAATAGAAGCACAATGCATGATAAAATATCAAAAGAAACATTTACGGGATAGATAAAACAATTTTGATTATCATCTTTATTACTGAAAATAAGCTTGCTGGGAGAATAACAAGTACAATTGTTGTGTCAAAACATCTCCATCATCAGATGTTTAATGTCTCGTCTCATTAAATGCTTCACATCTGTTGATGTAGATCCACAGGCTAATATTTAGCAGCTGGATGCTTGTTGGTGATGTCCCTATAAGTGTAGAGACTGCTGGGTTAGGGGCTAGACCGGTAAAATTATGTGCAGATGATCACGTCGCTTGTCCATGATGACATTTATAGGCTATCATTGTCACACCACTGGTGACAGATTTATTTCAATCATGGCAGCCCTTACAGGTAAGGGGAGAGGGGGTTCACTTGTAGCTGTTTTATTTGTTTTTATTTCAGGGGGCCTCCAGATAATTGTTTGGGCCGCTGAGTACTTTCTACATTGGGTATTGATTGGGTTTGGGAGTATTCAGTATGCTTTTAGTTTTACTCGCTTGGTCTCTCTTGAGGCTGATTGCATAGTTGAGTAGAGAGGATTGTGTGTTTGTATAGCAGAGTAGAGAGGATTTTGTGGTTGTATAGCAGAGTAGAGAGGATTGTGTGGTTGTATAGCAGAGTAGAGGGGATTGTGTGGTTGTATAGCAGTAGAGAGGATTGTGTGGTTGTATAGCAGAGTAGAGAGGATTGTGTGGTTGTATAGCAGTAGAGAGGATTGTGTGGTTGTATAGCAGAGTAGACAGGATTGTGTGGCGGTATAGCAGAGTAGAGAGGATTGTGTGGTTGTATAGCAGAGTAGACAGGATTGTGTGGTTGTATAGCAGAGTAGAGAGGATTGTGTGGTTGTATAGCAGAGTAGAGAGGATTGTGTGGTTGTATAGCAGAGTAGAGAGGATTGTGTGGTTGTATAGCAGAGTAGAAAGGATTGTGTCGTTGTATAGGAGAGTAGACAGGATTGTGTCGTTGTATAGCAGAGTAGAGAGGATTGTGTGTTTGTATAGCAGAGTAGACAGGATTGCGTGGTTGTATAGCAGAGTAGAGAGGATTGTGTGGTTGTATCACAGAGTAGAGAGGATTGTGTGGTTGTATCACAGAGTAGAGAGGATTGTGTGGTTGTATAGCAGAGTAGAGAGGATTGTGTGGTTGTATAGCAGAGTAGAGAGGATTGTGTGGTTGTATAGCAGAGTAGACAGGATTGTGTGGTTGTATAGCAGAGTAGACAGGATTGTGTGGTTGTATAGCAGAGTAGACAGGATTGTGTGGTTGTATAGCAGAGTAGAGAGGATTGTGTGGTTGTATAGCAGAGTAGAGAGGATTGTGTGGCTGTATAGCAGAGTAGACAGGATTGTGTGGTTGTAAAACAAATACATGTTGAATCTAAATCTGTCCACACAATACAAGTTCCTTTCTCTTCCTATTTTATTTATGATGATAAAAGTTGATTTTATGTACTTGATGTTTTCAGTGTTTTGCTTGTGCTTCCCGTGTATCCACGGTGACGATCCATCTCTTCATGTGTCCGGTGACGACCAGAGGTTGTTATGGACCCCAGAAGAGAATAATGGAGGAAATGCGATGCGATTCACCGTGGACAACCAATCAGATCCCTTGTTTCATCCCGGGTTTATGGACTACTGTCGTTTGTCAGAAAATGCTTTCTCAGGGAGTGAAGGTAGATATGAATAGTTTTGCCGGACACAAAAAATTGCATCCACAACTCGTATAATCAAAGAATGTATGCTTATAAGTTGTATACAGGGGTCCGGAAATCGTCATATGCGCCGGGCATGTCCGATTGGGAATCTCAAATGTCCGTTTTAAAATATTGCTTACCGGACATTTTAAAAAGTATTGTCCGGACATTCTTAAATTTTGACCGGACATGATCAACAGTTAGGACTGAGCAGTTTCTGTCTGCAGTTGCAACACAATGAAGATTATCTACACTGACAAGCTTTCTTTGTTTTGATTGCTGTAAATACATCGTACCTACATGATAGTCCAATCGGTCAATCACTGTAATAGGCAATAAACTGAGTTGACACTGATTAATGGAGGATTAATTACTGAGAACATTTTGTTAATTTGAGTGAAAGGTGTTTACAACTGTACATTAATACCTTGCATCATCGATGTACCTCATTATCCTCACAATGCTACAATACGTAACCTCAGACAAGAAGCGAAAGCGTGACGACAGCCAGTCGACCGATGCAGATCAGTCGAGCGGATCTGCCAAACCCTCAAAGTCTTGACGATCATTTTGTAAGTCGTGGCTAACGACTTTCACTTGGTTGACATAAAATGAGGATTTGCAGATTTTATTGTTTTCAGTAGCTAGTCGTATATTGAATCTTGATTGACCGCCATTTTGCTTTCTCAGACGATCGATATCCAATTTTTTTATGGTCAATAATTAAGTACAGATGAAAAAAGTATTCAAATAACTATTGCTATCAACGATATTTTAGTATTTGTGATTAAATTATCTGTCTTGTTTTTAAAAAAATCTTTAGTTTAAAAAAACACTTTTCCTGTGAGGTCACGTGATAACCAAATATGGGATAATAGTATCGATCCAAATGTTACAACGCGTACACTTGAGCAGACTCATGAATATAACTCATGAATATTAATTAGACCGTTCACTATGTTAACAGATCGTTATTATAACAGAAACAAACGTATGTTTTCCATGTAAATCTACAATGATATTATTTGTTATTAATTGTCCGGTGAATTAAACAATTTTAATTGAAACAATTCATAATTCATCATATTATGAATACGTAAACTTGTAATGTGTGTGAAAAGTCGTACTAAAATACGCTGTTTGAAGGGGGCGTGGCCTAAATGCAAATGTCCGATTGGGATTTTAAATTTTCTGGACCCCTGGTTGTATAGCAAGTCCATAGGGTGCGAAAAGAATATGTCTGTTTGAATCTTTAAGACCCATTCAGTTGCATTCAGAGCCATTGTTGCATAGACATAAATTTACTGTCCCTGTGTGTTCTGTTTCACTCAAATAAGGGAAATTCCATCCATGGTTTAATGTATGGCTTGGGCGGTCGGGTAGCCTAGTGGTTAAAGCATTCGCTCGTCATGCCGAAGACCCGGGTTCGATTCCCGACATGGGTACAATGTGTGAAGCCCATTTCTGGTGTCCCCCGCCGTGCTGGAATATTGCTAAAAGCGTCTTAAAACCATACTCACTCACTCGCTAATGTATGGCTTCACAAAAACAGTGCGCTGCAGAGGCAGCGGCCTTGCGGGATTCTCGCAATAGTTTACTGATGGGCACGTAATATTCAGCTCAGTGGGACATCGGGCGCTTTCATGTAGAGGGGTTTATTTTTTATAATTATGGTAGTCGCTGATTGTTTCCAAAACAGAACACATCAACAAAACAGCTACTTCTATTATCAAATATAAACGTCATTGCTTTTTGCGTCTCAATTTACCTTCAGTAACTTAAATTGGCTTAAAGTCACAAATGGTCCAATCATCATCAAGCTTTCACATTTGTCCAAATATTGTAGTCATGGTTTTGATAATGCCAAAGATGTTTCTGCTCAGATGACCCCAGGATTTCAGAATCGCCAACCACAAGTTATGTTAGCGATACACAGTAACCATGGTGACAGTCTGAGGAAAGGTGGAAAAACCGAGAAATGTAGAAATTTTCAGTGAACATGGCTTCGAGACTACATGTGGTTGCTGCAAAGCTCAACGAAATACTACGACATGTCAGCTTTGTTGAAATCATGTGAAAACTTGTTCAATGTCAAAGTAAATTCTGATTTTAGAACGAGTACCTTAAAGAGACATGCTAACAGCAGTGATGACAGACAAGCTGTTGAGGCGAAATATTTGACTTCGGATGTTGTAGCTGCAGTAATTTACATCTTAGAAAGATGCCATGCTAAACCTGCTGTATGTCACTTGTGTTACGTGTGGACGGTGATTCTGTATCAATAACCTGCTTATTGGGTTTCAAGTTTTACATGGTCTCTCAAAGTGTGGCCCCATAAGTTTTGAAAATGACCCCGTGTATTTATGCTGAAGGGGTCCCTGTCCTCAATTAATATTACACCTGTGAAGATCCGGGGTAGAATAGATCTTCAGCAACCCATGCTTGCCGTAAAAGGCTTGTCATAAGAGGCAACTAACGGCATTGGGTGGTCAGGCTCTCTGACTTGGTTGATGCATGTCATCGTATCCCAATTGCGTAGATCGATGCTAATGATGTCAATCACTGGATAGTCTGGTCCAGACTTGATTATTTACAGACCGCCGTCATATAGCTGGAATATTGCTGAGTGCGATGTTAACAAAACACAAATAAAAAAGCACTTAATGTCTAGTTTCTTGGTAGAACACTGCAAATACTTTACCTTGCAAGCTACTGATAAGAGGGACATTACGTGACAAGACTCAGGCATCAAATGTTGTTTTTTGTATCTTGTTTTTCTTGAAGTTAGTGTCTTGTTTGCTTATTGTTTTTAATGTTTTTAAATATATGAGAGCATAAATCAAAAGTCAAGTGTGCTGGTAAGGACAGATTGAGATGTGTGTAGATCTGCAGAAATGTGTTTATTAAACGTGGGCACCAAGCAAAGGATTAGATAGCAACTTAATTCATATTGATTTGAGTTGCAATGCATTTTCATTATAATCAGATCTGGGGGCACGGGTGGCCCAGTCGTCTAAGGCGCAGCGAATCGCTGTGCAGAGTTGTGTCCCTTGGACACGCCAGAAACCTATGATTGTGGGTTCGAATCCCGGTTTGTCCCGATTATGTTTCTAGGTTTGTCAACTATACCCATGCTCGTGGGTTTCACCGTGGTAAACGTCTGAGACCTGCATCACTTCGGGCTTTCCTCCCACATTAAGCTGACATGCCACGATATAACTTGAATACTGTTAAGAGCGGCGTTAAACCCAACTCACTGACTGACTTTAATCAGATCTTTTACTCTTGCCATCCCCCGAATGATGAAAATGATCTTATTTTAATGAGATTGGATCACAGTTAGGGCTAGCTGTGGTTACAGATCATAGAGATCGATAATTGTTAACTAATACAGTGGTCCCTCGCTACAACGCTACCAATGGGGTCCAAATAATTGGTGGGCGTTATAGACGATGAGCCGTTTAACCGAGGCCTAGGCGGGGGAGCGCGCTCGGCCAATCTCACGATCTTCGCCTTTTCGCACATTGCAATGATACAAGTTGTTTACCGTTCATAGTGTAAAAATATATATCCATTATGTTTTCGCCGTTTGTTATTATTTACAAGCCTTAACTGTCACATTTAATGTGAATGTAGTCTACTTACATGAAAATATCGATCGATAATGGTAGAAACAGACGCTATGAGTGAAGAGCCAATCACAATTAATTACACAAGTACAGAGTGAACAACAATACAATCACGGCTGTGTAAAACTCTCAGTATTAAAAGTGTACATACATTTTTGGAGCTATGCGATACCGCGCGTAGTAACCGAGGTAGCGCTTTATCGAAGAGTCTAATAGCGAGGGATCACTGTATATAAATCGGAAAAGTAACTTTGAGCAAATGTGCCAAAAAAAAGTCCTAAAGAAATAAACTTTTTTAACTCCTCTGGAGAATGGTGGCACATTTATGCAGGGATTACTTTGTGGACATTCAAGATATAACAACAACAGTTACTTTCCATCTTTAGCAATTGACATTATAGAAAATAACAAGTCTGTTTTTGGTAAATCTAAACTTTATTTCATGGCAATAGTTTGTGTGAGATATTATTGGTGACACAATTTTCTTATCAATAATGCTTGTCCTAAGAGGCGACTAACGGGATCGGGTGGTCAGACACGCTGACTTGGTTGATGCATCTCATCGATCCCAGTTGCGTGGATCGATGCTCATGATGTCAATCACTGGATTGTGACTCGATTATTTTCAGACCGCCGTCATATAGCTGGAATATTGCTGAGTGCAACGTTAAACAACAAACAAACAAACAAACAAATATAAATAATCATTAGTATTTTTTCCATCGGTGATAATTCCGATTATCGATTTTAATTTGCTAGACCTAGTCACAGTGTAAGTCAAGGCATTTCCTGTAGTTACAATGAGATGTGCAGGCATGTTGGATACTGATCTGTCATTTGTCATGAAGGGGAAAAGGGTTAGCCCAGGTGACTGAGTACTTGCTTGTCACACCCAGGTTTCATTCCTGTGTTCATCTGGCTGTGAAACTCGGCAGACATGCGATGCACGATGCGTTTATTCCTTTATCGATACAAGATGATATGCTTCCTAAAAACATGAAAAAAAATAACCTGCAACTCGGTTTATTTGTCAGTGAAGTATCGCAAAATATGTTGTAAATAAAGTTTTAAGTTTCCTACTAAGAGTTCCCGCTCCAAACACATGTCTACAGTAAGCTTTTCCTTTTCAACCTGCTCTGAAATATTTAAAGTCGAAAAGTTTCCACGTGATTTGACATAAATATGGGTATTGCTATACTTATCATATCGACTTGCCCAAACTCGTTGGTTAGCACAAATTTGTAATTAGGGATGCAAATTAACCTGAAAGACTAACTACCTGAAAAGTGACAAAACATATCTAATTAAAAGTCAGAAACTCTGTTCCACTGGCCATTAGGCTCCCTCTCACATTAAACAAGACTGACGCTGTCACTCAGGGCTAGCAGGCCAGTGCCAAGTTGCAACCTTGAAATGGTAAACCAATAACCTTGACTTGTAAATCTTCACTGGTAGTAGTTGGTTGGTTGGTTGGTTTGTTGTTTAACGCCTCACTCAGCAATATTCCAGCTATATGACGGCGGCACTGGTAGTAGTAAGAACTAGGGCAAAATATATCCAGACGCGACCCGTGAGGATTTCGGGGTAGATTTGGTCTTCAGCAACCCATACTTGCCGTAAAAGGCGACTATGCTTGTCGTAAAAGGCGACTAACGGGATCGGGTGGTCAGGCTCGCCGACTTGGTTGATGCATGTCATCGATCCCAATTGCGTGGATCGATGCTCATGATATCAATCACTGGATTGTCTTGTCCAGACATGATTATTTACAGACCGCGGTCATATTGCTGGAATATTGCTGAGTACGGCGTTAAACAACAAACTAACTAACTAACTAACTATATCCAGATGCAAAGCTCGAGATAAGCTGCGTGGATAGTTGCTGACAACATCAGTCACTGAATTGTCTGGTCCAGACTCGATTTTGTGTGTTCGTGTGTGTGAACGCATGTGTGAATATTTGCAGACGGCTGCCGTATTGCTTGAATATTGCAGAGTGAGGCGTTAACCAAAGCACATGCACGCACGTATGCACGTATAATCAAATCTGGACCAGACGACGATCCAGTCCCTAGGGGCACCATGAAATGCCATCCATGCCTGACCATTCACGAGGCCACCGATAGCTTTGATCCTCTTTTGACCAGGTTAGGTTGATTGGGACCAATGCTAGGCTGGAAACATTGTGTGTGACCATTTGGGGAGGTTGTCATTGCAGAGCTTGAGATAACTTGCGCAGATACACAGACAATGAATTCCTAGCATATCAAATACACAACAAAAACTATAAATACTGTATTCGACGTAAAAAGCGCCTCTCTCTAAAGAGCGCCCACGGGGATATTTGCTAATATATTGGCTAGTGAACAATCCCAATTAGCACCCCTTCCGATTATCCAATGTACACAAGACTTATTTATTCGCGTATAATACGCACTCGTTATATGCACCCTTAATTATGGGCAATTAAATTCTGGAAAAATATTTATAAACATTTCAGGCTGTCAGCATAACCACGAACATAATATTCTAATAAGAGCCCACTATTTCTAATTTCCAGAGCACCCTGGGCGCTTATTATGTCAAATACGGTATGCTATTTAAGTAAAATTAATGTGTATATTATAGCTATTAGATAAAACGATTGAGTATTTTACAATTGTTACATAAAATGATTGTGTATCAGCCGATCGCCAAATTCACTTACCGACAGTTACATTCGGTAAAGCTTCTAAGACAAATATACTGACAGATGCCAATTAAAAAGCACATCGTGCCGAGTCAAGGTACATGTTGTATCTTAATTAGTTGCCGATTGGAAATTAAAAAAAAAAAAATTAACAAAAAAAATGATTTACAGGAGTTGTTACAAAACAGGTTTTTAGTTAAATACCCAAATGTCAAGAAAAGGGTGGGTAAATTTTTTTTGAATACCCTCTAAAAATTGTGGATACCCAATCAAAATCAAACACCTGGGTAAAACACCCAAATAACCAAAAGCTTAACTAGAGCTCTGCAGATATCTCTGTCAGGGGGTGCGGTCGGGTAGCCTAGTGGTTAAAGTGTTCGCTCGTCACGCCGAAGACCCGGGTTCGATTCCCGACATGGGTACAATGTGTGAAGCCTATTTCTGGTGTCCCCCGCCGTGATATTGCTGGAATATTGCTTAAAGCGGCGTAAAACCATACTCACTCACTCACTCTCTGTCAAGGAAGGACAGGGTTCACCCAAACGTTCACATATTGGGAAAGGTCACTACAAAATGATGAAACATTGTATTACGTTCACCGATTGAACCCCCAGGTTTGACATGATGCTTTATTTCTTGTCTTCTCAGGTTCTTCAGTTCCTGGCTACCACTTGAAGAAGGTTCTTATCCTGATCTCGCCGGGACAGCGAGCCACAAAGATTGATTTCGAAAACATGACCAGTCCCGATATTAGCTGTGACTTTGAGCACCACGCCAACCTCGCAAGCCATCGCAAAGTTCAAAGTTTCCCCGAAGTTGCTGATATTTATCGTCATATGAGATCAAAGAAAGATGGATTCAAAATATTTCGACCATACCCCGATTCACCGTTCTGTGAGTATGAGGAGTTGTCTCCCCTTGGGACAACCCAGCATATACTTTTAGGTGAATACATTGGAAGAAAATATTCCAAATTTGGGTTCGATGAACCGTATTCCGTGGAGGGGATGTTGACAGCGCACTGCATACAAGACGAAGCTGCCTATCAAAGCATTTTTGCGTTTCTGCATGGCCTGCTTCATGAGAAAGACTTTGTTTCGACAACTGTCCAAAAGTCCTTGAATAATTTTTGTCAAATATATCCCAGTCATAGATGCTCCTGCCCCAAATCTGATTTCCTCCAACACCAGATTGCAAAAGTAGTTCGAAGAGGGTTTCATATATTTAAGGAAACTGCCAAAATCGAGAGGAGCATCAATGAAAAAATAAGCATTCCTTATCATACGGACATTGCCCCTCGTGAAATCGTGTCCTTCCTTTCGTCATGGGTATGTGATAGGAGGCAACATCCATGCAAAGATGGCACCTGTTTCAACATCAGCATTTCAAATTTAGATGATGTTTTCCAGTCAGCTAATGATTATCTCAATCACATAACGTCCACAACTACTTTCAAAAGCTATGCACATCTGAACGTTTATCCATTTTTTGAGAGATTGTTCAAATGGCTGGCTGGAAGTGGGGACGAGAGGTTTTCGGTTATGGCGGCTGAGGAAGACTTTGTTGTCATGGTGATGACAGTCCTTGGATTGCCTGTGGAACAAATTCTTCCGTTAGCTTCGAGGCTTGTGTTTGAGATTCACGAATCTCCCCAATCAAAAGATCTGATTGTTAAAATATTTTTGAATGGAATTGATGTATCTGATAGACTCGCTGTGAGTACAGATCTGAATGCCTCAATGCTTGGTCTTGAAGTGGTGAGTGAATATTATACAAGGTCACTGTTAAGTAGTTTCAAAGACGGGGATTATTACACTGAATGCATATCTTAATCCTTTTATCATTTTCAGCAGGAAACAATTGTCAAGAATATGACTATTTTCCTGCTTGCTATAACACATGATATCTATTTATGAGTTGTTGACAGGTTTTAATGACCTTATAAGTCTGGAGGAATCAACTTCAAATATCTTTGAAATCTGAGAAGCCATGAATGAGTTCTGCATGTTTGGGTTAAAAAAACACCATAAAACCAATAACAGCATAAATCATATATGACTGAATTCTTTGCAAAAAAGACTTCATAGCTGTTGTGAAGTTTAATTTGTTTCACAATTTGTATATCCATTTTGAGCTTGACTGCAGGCTTCTGCAGTTGTCCAATAGCTGTAAAATGCATTGGTCAGTGTTTGCTTCCGAAAGAGGGGCATTTCAGCAATGGCCCTCAAATCCTGGAATCACAGAGTCCTTCAGCCTGATAGTCAACTCCCAGAAACAAACCTTTTCACCCAACACCATGAACACCATTGAACCTCTTAGTGAACAAATATATATCGTGGGTTGGAATCCCAGACTTCACCTGATTATGGTAGAATAGGTGCTCATTGATTCCAACAAGCTGGTAATATCTGTGTCTCTTTGGTTACCTCCAAAATAAAGCAGACATGCTTCAGGGATTTATCTAGACCGGGGCCATCTTGCACAAAGTGATCTTAGGGGAGTTAAAGTAGGGGAGTTACGCTCATCTTAGCGCTAAGACTACCATAAGCCTATGTGAAAGTATCGGAGTTACGATCATCTTAGCGCTAAGACTATCGTAAGCCTATGTGAAAGTATCGGAGTTACGATCATCTTAGCGCTAAGACTATCGTAAGCCTATGTGAAAGTATCGGAGTTACGATCATCTTAGCGCTAAGACTATCGTAAGCCTATGTGAAAGTATGTGAGTTCGATCATCTTAGCGCTAAGGGCCAATTGTAATGGAGGATTTCAAACAAAAACAGTGCAAGTTAACATGATTAGGTATCATGATACATATTTCGAGGTGGTCATTTTGTGACTTTCTTATTTGTAACTAGGTTTGCAGAATTGTTGACACAGATTGTCTGGACCAGACTTGATTACTTAGAGGTTGCCGTCATACAGCTGGAATATTACAGATTGCAGCATAAACAAACGAACAAATTGTTGAAATGTGTTTTAAGCAATGTAAGCCTATGTAAGACAGAAATCATTCCTGCAATTCCAGCTGTGTTCATCCAAGCATTGTGTGTCCCTTAAACGGGTTTTTCTTGGAAATTATTGTCGCTTGGGTTCAGGCTGACAGATTTTATTGACCTTTCTATTTTTCATGGATAGATCTTTATATTAAACTGTTATTTGTGTTGATTATTTTTAAAGATAAAAAAACCCAAAGCATACAAACATGACAAATAGGATTTGTTTACAGTCTTATTAAACAAGTTTAGAAACATTTAAATTTTAAATTTAAATTTTAGAGCCAGAACAAGAAACTAATGACATCAATATGAAAATCTTCTAGTTTTTTTGTTTTGTTTAAAATAAAATAGTTAGTGTAGTGCTTTTGCAAGTAAGGCAGCCATTGGTTAGTTATTAAATTTAACAGGTTCTACATTGACAAAACCATTTCAGCATTAATTGATTTGAAGCTAGGGCCTCTTAGATTGGCTTATGTAAATCTGAAGTGAATAAGTAAAAAATCAATTGAACTCTCAAATTTTCACACTGCTCCTTACGAAATTTCAGGAGGAAAAGTTTGATATGTGTAGAGGAAGTTGGAATATCACAGAAACTATTTCCTTGTGATTGACCCGCAGTAAGGAAAATATAATGCAAATATGAAATATTTGCTTACTCCTACTTCAGACAACACATTTTTTATTTTTTGTTTCACAGACCCGCCACCCCTACTGAAAAGCAGCTGGAAAAGATATAAATTAAACATAAAAATTATTTTTAGTATGTTTTCGCGAGTAACAATTATTAGAGACCTTCGTATACAATATAAAATGTTGTATATAAATTCTATGTCTGTCACTATCAGTGATTCAAGAAGCCAGCTGCAGTGTTAACTCCACGGCAGACTGACTTTCATATAAATAAGTAAATGATTGACATAACTATTTTTTTAAATTTTTATTTCGACCGACCTTGTTTGGAAAAGTTGGAATAAATCCATGAAACTTAAAATTTTAAAAATGTAGCCTTATCAATGTAAAGTCACCCATTATAATTTACCAGTCACACCCATCTCCAAAACATGTAAGAAATTTATGGGAGGAAAGAAAATCATTACAGTTTTGTTCTTAATCCATTTTCCAGAGGATTGCCAGGAATTTATCTGGACCTGGTCAGGGGTCGATATTTGACCCCATCTGCAACAAATGTCATTAAAAATTCCCAAATTTAAATTATGAATTTGAAAATTTATATTTTGGCTTGGTAGAGGTAACCTGTATTTCACTGATAACAGAACCAGTAAATTTGAAGGGGTTTTATGTTATTGCACTGAATGCAATCTCGTGAATACAGTGTTAAAAAACCTCTGAATTTAAGAAATAATTTTTTATAAAAAAATCCCCATTTTGAATAAAATAACAAATTTCAAAATTGCATGCCAGGGGCACTTAGTTTTGAATCGTAGATAAGTCCCTGATAGCCAGGGCCCTGTTGTGCAAGGTGCTCGTATCACAATGACCATCATAACTCCACATGTTAACATAGATTTATGGTAGACGTAGTGCTGGAGATTGCTTTGTGAACAGGGCCCAAGTCCACTTCTTGAACTTGCATTTGTAATATCACCCTGGAGGGATGCTCATTTCTAAAAGCCAGATGTTTAGGCAGATCAGATGTGGGATTTACCATGATGTATTTATTGTGACAAGGAAATTCTTCGTCACATTGCATAAATGAGAATCGCATGACTTGTCAAAGGATAAGTGAAGGAAGCGATTAAGTGTTTAAATAGTCCAAATCCAACAAACACCTACATCTTTGATGACATTGAAAAGTGACTCATCTTTTATGAAACCTAACTTTGCAAACAGCTCTCATGACTACCGAATTCAACGTAATAAGCGCCCAGGGTGCTCTCAAAATTAGAAATAGGTTTTTTTTATTAGAATATTATTTAGGTGAGAGAAAAAAACAGTTGAAAGATTGTAAATTTCGTGGTTTATGCTGATAGCCTGAAATGTTAATATATGACACAAGTGCGTATTATGCACGAATAAAAAAGTCTTGTGTACATTGATCAATCGGAAGGGGTGCTAATTGGGATTGTTCACTAGCCAATATATTAGCAAAGATCGGCGTGTGTGTTCATATGAGCGGGGCGCATATTACGTCAAATACGGTAATTGTTGTCAGTTGTAATCTCATGACAGAATTGATTATTTATTTTCCAAGAAAACAGGGTTACTGCAATCCTACCTGATGTTAGCTTTCTGAGGTCAGAGCTGTCTGCTGGAGGGATAAATCAAGGGGTGGGGTAAATCAGGGCGTGGTCAATTTACGTGACTGATATACAGCTATTTATTGTGTCATGATAACTTGATAGTTAAATGTTAGACGTCATACACGGAGATGGCACCCCCCCTTAACAGTGTCATGTTAATCTATACAAATTTTAAAAGCTGCAGTGCAATGTAATGTGAAAAACAGTAGTAACGGGTAATTGTTCTATATAATTGAAATGCATTTACAATAATAACAATAATAATAATAATAATAATAATAATAATAATATAAAAATAATTTCCTTTATTATGTGTCAGATGCCATTCACCAAGTGAATGCTCAGCTTTCATTCTCAGCTTCTTTGGGAGTATACTAGCCAAGCTGCCTGTGAGGCGCTGGGTTAACAGTCACATTCAAACTACCAGGGTGGCGGTCGGGTAGCCTAGTGGTTAAAGTGTTCGCTCGTCACGCTGAAGACCCGGGTTCGATTCCCGACATGGGTACAATGTGTGAAACCCATTTCTGGTGTTCCCCGCCGTGATATTGCTGGAATATTGCTCAAAGCGGCGTAAAACCAAACTCACTCACTCACTCACTCAAACTACCAGGTACCCACAGACTGCTGGGTGAACAAAGGCATACTCGGAACAATGGCACCAATGTAACTTGCCAAGAGATATGTTCCTCTGTAACACCAGGGCCCACCTGAGCGTCCGCCCAAAGAGCGGAGGGTCCAGGGTTCGATCCCCGGCCGCGTCATACCAAAAGACGTTAAAAGATGGTACTTGTTGTTACCCTGTCTGGCGCTCGGCATTAAGGGGCTAAAAAAAGGACTGGTCGGTTCGGAGTCAGTATACTGTGTCTGAGTGGGGTATTCATGGTAAACTTCGGCATGGTATCTCAGTGAGCTAGCACTATAAATCGGCATCAGTCCGGACTAGTACAAGCAGCCACACACACACACACACACGTACATGCACGTCGCTCTATAAGTGCAATAATCTTGGACGCGACGTTAAACCCCATTTCACCTCACCTTGTGTTTAATAGGTGGTGGTGGTCAAAGTCCAGGACACGTTTTATGGATTTCCAAAAGAGCATCATTATGTAAAATTGAAAATGATATGCGGTTTTAGGCCTTTAAACTTTTAGACAAAAAGCTTTTTGACTTAAATTAGAATTTAAATAATAAAAGCTTGCAAAATTAACAAAATTTTCTCCAAACGTATTTTAATTCCTCAAGAAAAAAGACTTTTCATTTCACACAATTCTTTAAACCAATTTCTCTCGTGGCTTAAACTTTTGACAAGTTTTCCTGAACAAAGTGATATTATTTTTTAAAAGAATTTTGCACCTCATTCTACACTTATCAGCATGAATAATGACATTGGACTTGGCTGAGATAAGGTATCTCTGAAGGTTGTTGCTGATCCTAACAGCAGTGTAATGCACATGACCCAGCTTGTTATAACGGATACAGTATGTCACGAATGTTGGCCTGTATATTTGACAGTGATGCTGGGAACTATCAATATTTGGGTCTGTCTGTCACCAGACTGAACCAAGGTGCTCGTAACTTAAGTGCACTGTGCAAGCAAGCTGAGAACTGTGTATAAAATGTATAAGCATATCTGACTAGTGTGAGATAATATATTATCAACAAAGAAATATAGAATAAATTAAAAAGTGAAGAAAAGGGCCACCAGAATGAAAAATACAAGTTAGGAGTGGAGTAATTTATAAAAAGTGTATGTTGATGAGACTGCCCCAAAAATCCAAATGCAATAATATTATAAAAAATAATGATTTAGTGCTGTTTATCATTAAGCCTAAGCTTACTTTTTTCATATTTTTTAAAAACTATTTTTCAAGAAAAAACATAAGATATCAAATAAGTCTTTTTGCATTCTTAATCTAGACTTCTTAGGAAAATCATAAAACAAGTTTTATGTAACTATTGATGAGATGGTGAGATTAACATGGTATAGGATCATCTAAAAAAAATAAAAATGTTTTTATCTAATTTACATGGTTTATTTTACATCAGACAGAAAGGTCAACAGAATTGTTAGT